TTAGTATGTTTGCCACACTCGTGTGACCCGCTATTTCCGGGGTGCCTTGATAGTCGAAGCAGACTTTGTGCTGTTGAAGCTAGAGAGGTGAGCAGAGTAAGTCTGATTCCCTGTAAAGACTTCTCTGTTGACATCCACCCCTTGGCGCTCATATGACCTTATGCAGTTGCTAGCGCCGTAAAACCTCTACTAAAGCAAACAAGCTGCCATTGCCACAAATTATAGATCAGTTGCGAAAGGGGAATTTGCTTATCTCTGGATAACTGTGTTAGTTGGTTAATGTGGGACTACAATAATAAATTGCGGTTCGGAATTAGCCTCATGCAAGTCCGCCTGCGATAAGGGTTCCCAGATAAAGCCCCATGCACACTAGGGCAGTAAGTTTCCACACTGGTCGTGCAGCAGCGAAGTGTGACGTCACTAAGCGAGGAAGAAAGACAACCGGGCGAAAATTATTGCCTCATTTACATATTCGCAGCCGTGCGACCAGTGGAAATATTCCTAGTTTACGCGGGGCCCAATGCCTAGTGTTATCACCGACAATAAGTCTATGTTGTTGTTTTTTGACCGCCGGTTTATTCATTCATTCATTCATCCATCCATCCATCCATCCATCCATCCATCCATCCATCCATCCATCCATCCATCCATCCATCCATGCATCCATGCATCCATCGATCCACCGATACCTCTATCCATCCACCCAGATAGATAATTATTCATTTATTCATCCGTCCATGCATTTATTAACCTATCTATTCTTAGGTAACAGATGAGTGTTTTAAAAACAAATCGTTCCTAGAAATCAAATTTAATTATCGTTGAGTTTGTTTGTTTGTTTGTTTGTTTGTTTGTTTGTTTGTTTGTTATTTTTTGCTCCCTTGTTTTGTTCGAGCCTTTTGTTTGTTTGCTTGTTATTTATATTTGTTTGCTTTTGTCGTTGACGATGATGGTGGATTTAAACTTTTTAATTTAAAAAAAAATTGGGGGGTGGGGGTGGGGTTGTCTACTTAGTACAATGTCCAGAAAACAGGTAAAATCGAAGATCTTCTACCAAAAAATCCAACATATAATTGCCCAAAGAAATAAAGAAATGTCCAAAGAGGGAAGTCGATAGTATCTCAAGTTGTGTCTGTGTACTGCGGGGCCCTGTGGGATTTAACCAAAGGAGAAGCTTGGATTTTTCTTACAAAACCCAGCAACTTTGATTAATCCCACAGGGAGAAAAACGACAGGTCGCGGAAGTTTTATTTAGACGCTGAAAACTTCAATCTTTTTCTTTTAAACTTTCATATAAAAAAAACAACAACTGTTTTTCAAAGGTTTTCTTGGTTCCATCTGTACGTTTTTCAAAGGTTTTTTTTCCATCTGTACAATTAAAATTTGTTTTTACTAATAGCATTTACGTGGTCAAAAAAAGGTGAAAAGTTGTCCACAAATTAAGTTTCAGTCAAATTTGACTTACTTGTACTTCTGTTTTGCACTGACGGTACATGATCTATCTATCTATCTATCTATCTATCTATCTATATATCTATCTATCTATCTATCTATCTATCTATCTATCTATCTATCTATCTATCTATCTTGTCTGTCTGTCTGTCTGTCTGTCTGTCTGTCTGTCTGTCTGTCTGTTTGTCTGTCTGTCTGTCTGTCTGTCTGCCTGTCTGTCTGTCTATCTATCTTTAGATATATAAGCCAAATAAAGGCATCCAGAAAACCAAAACGATCACAACGCAAAAATAACAAGAAGAATGCAAAAAATGCGCTATTCTTCATTATAGATCTAGATAATATCACACACAACAGAAAAAGATCCATGAACGATGTTACTCACCAGATATGTTGTTATCTGTGGGATCTGCCCATTGTAGCTCCGTAGCTCTTCGGTGATGTGTTTGTACGAGCAGGGAATATTCTCCCACAGAAAGGCACACACACGTTTGGCGGTGTGGTCGTTGCGTCAAATGTCCTGACTTAATAAAACTCGTGTGCAATATCTGAACAAATGTCAGCCTTGTGTGTCTATTCCACTTAACGGTTGGTCAGATCTCCAGAGCCCAGGTTTGTATCCACAGTTGTTTAAATGATTTTCCGGAAAGTTTGAGCAGCTTCACTTTTCTGTAGTCGTCAAACAGTTTTCGGTAACCCAATCAATATAATAACCGCAAAAACTCGGGCAGAAGTGTTCACTGGATTTCTGGAAGTAGTGGAAGGTACTTCAAAGATTCCATCCAGAATACAGACACGAATTCAGTGGTGAATATCTGTATTCCCAGGTTGCTCTGTAAGTGTGTAAATACATTCAGATGTTCACGTGGAATATCCGGGAATGTCCAATGCAACAATTTGCCATTAGGTGAAGGATCCATGTGCATGTAGTTGAGTCATGTCGTCAGAACAACTCGGTTTTCCCGATATAATATGTGAAGCGTCAATGCGTAGAGACGGTATTGGACGCGATGACCTGCAGTGTTCTTGGACAGATGTGTGACCTTGAGCCTTGCTTTATGATGACGTTCTGTGGAAGAGCAAGAAAATGAACGATGTGTAAAATTTTGATAAGAGGATTATTTCATTTGTAACAAAAATGAAATAGGTCATTAATATAAAAGCCGAGATTTAGATTCAGTAAAAGTTTTAAGGCATTTGCAACACAAAAAATGTGTTCATATAAGAGCTGAAGATTAGAGGGGTTACAAGAGAGTAGCATGCACAGAGAAGAAGCAGACGAAAGAAGTATGATTTAGTATGTTTGATAGGATATTTTACGATAGAAGGATCAAACCAAACAAGAGCACCCTTAAACCACACATGACGAAGAAGAGTGAAAGTGAAGGGCAATAATTTTGAGATGACTTGATCATTCGGTGAAAGTGCAATAATTCTGAGATGACTTGATCATTCGGTGAAAGTGCAATAATTCTGAGATGACTTGATCATTTGGTGAAAGTGCAATCATTCTGAGATGACTTGATCATTCGGTGAAAGTGCAATCATTCTGAGATGACTTGATCATTCGGTGAAAGTGCAATCATTCTGAGATGACTTGATCATTCGGTGAAAGTGCAATAATTCTTAGGTGACTTGATCATTCGGTGAAAGTGCAATCATTCTTAGGTTACTTGATCATTCGAGGAGAGTTTTAGACCAAATCAAATCTAGGAATGTTGACTTGGGAATTTGCTTTCCACGCACACTAGGAACATTTCCTCTCGTTGCATGGTTGCTAGTATGCAAGTGAGAGTGCAATTTTTGCCCCACCCACGTTTTTAACGTTGCAACAAGAACAACAAAAAATAGCTAACGTGTATAATTTTGCTGCATCGCGTACCCGGGCTGAGCACTAGAGATCGGCGTGCACCCTAAACAAATCTGTAAAAAATTAAAAGCTCGAAAAACACGACAATCCTTTTTTAAAAAAGGGGAGCTTTTAGTTTCGAATCGTGCCATAGCACTTGTTCGAACTGTAAAGTAAAAAAAAGAAAATTGCTCGACGACATTTTACGTTTCGCACAAGAAAAGTTTGAACTTTAAACTTTCAAGTGCACGTGCTGTTATCAGCATCCCCCGCCTCTCTACGAAAAAACAAAAAACAAAAAAACCAACAAATCTTTTTTTTAAGCGATGGATCAGCGTCCGCTTTTTGCTCAGCTAAAACTGAAACCATACCCTTTTTTAGACGCACGATCAACAGATTTTTTAAGTGCATGTTTAGAACCGTGCTGCAGGAAAAGGTCACTGAAAGAGCAAACCATTACGAGCAAACTGAGACGGATATGGGGAAAGCGCGTAGTAGTGATAATAATAATAATATTATGAACATGTGTGGACCCAGTGATATCTGAGTCAGCGACAGAAGTTGTTCCGTGTAATGTGGTCCTTCTCTACTGTATGATATACAGGTATTGTTGTTTGTTGTTTGTTTGTTTGTTTGCTTGCTTGTGTGTGCGAGTGTGTGTGTGTGTTGGTTTTAAAAATTTTGTTTGAAGATCTAGCTGCTGGTTTTATAAGAAGACGCATCGACATGATTCTGTGTAGACTGCGGGCCCTGTTTTTTTGTTTTTGTTGGGGGTTGTTTTGTTGTTGTTGTTTTTTTGGGGGGGTGTTTTTTAAATAATCTTTTTCACAAGATCTAACAAACAGAGTGACTCGAGCGGCAGACAGAGATAACTTGTAAATACGTCAAGATTTTGAGAAATATTGTACATATTACCTTTTTCGAATAACATCAAGAGGCTAGCCCAGGATAGAGAAAGGTGGAAGGTGTTTGCCCGTGGCCTATACCCTGGTGCAGGCTGAGAAGGTGTTTGCCAGTGGCCTATACCCTGGTGCAGGCTGAGAAAGGCAATGATGACCTTTTTTCGTTTACCACAAAAATTAATGCGTAGGTAATTAGTCACATTTTTCGTTGTTGGAAAGTCTGATCGCACGAACAAATTCATCAGTTAGAAGCGGCCCCCATGTGATTTTTCGAGAATACCGTGTATTACATGTTAGGGATTCTGTCGACAACTTTACTCCAAATTTTGGTCACTCTATGCGAGGAGTTGGGAATGAGGGTGATGTCCTCCCCTTCTCCCCACCCCACCCCACCCCACCCCAAGGACAGCCTGTGGAGGGGGGGGTCTACGGTAGGCACCAAACAAAGAGCCAAAATAACGTCAATGTTCTTGTACATCATCATTCCCAACTCATCATCATCATCATCATCATCATCATCATCATCATCATCATCATCATCATCATTAATATAAATCGCCAAAGTTAGATCTAAAAAATCGTATTTCCAAGCAATATTTTTGTTATTTAGAAGAAAAAAAATCTAATTTTAACTACCACATTAATTAACACAATAATATGTTCCTCATAATTTACCAATTTCGGCTTCCAATCAGGAAACAGGACCAACTTATAAAAATGTAACAAAACAATGTATGAACCATCGCCCACCTGAACGTGTTCTTGTTAGTTAGTTAGTTAGTTGGTTTATTAGTTAGTTAGTTAGTTAGTTAGTTAGTTAGTTAGTTAGTTAGTTAGTTAGTTAGTTTGTTTGTTTGTTTGTTTGTTCGTTTGTTTGTTTGTTTATTTCTTCCTTCTTGTTTCCCCCTTTTCTATAAATAGCATCCTCAGGTCAGCTTTCCACTCGGCACATTTCTCAGTCCGAGTCCTGGCTCCAGACATTTTTGGAGGTCAGAAGTGATGGAAATAGTTCGCTGGTCAGTCACCGGAAATTCGTTCGCCAACTTAACGCCATTCCAGTGTCCCTTCCTGGTCTGTCAAAACCCCAAGAGGGACCGCCCACCCCGGGTATCCTTCACCGCAAAATCCCACGGGAGGGTGGAGCCGGGTAATGAAAAAATGTTGGTGGTATGAGAAAAACGGAAGTCTTGGGGAAAAATGTGTGCGAAATTGTTTAGGTGCAACCTTCCCTTGAAGGTTATTTAAGAGACAGGACCTCGAAATCTAACGTCAATTTCTCATGGAACCTAGCCACAGGGGAACATTCGGGTGAAGTGTCATTTTCAAGGTCTCGTCTCAACGTAGGATGGAGTTGAGCCTCGAAACCCCAAACTCTCAGTCTCACGATTTCAAGTCGGGTAGATTACGATTTCAAGTCGGGTAGGTTACGATTTCAAGTTGGGTAGATTACGATTTCAAATCGGGTAGGTTACGATTTCAAGTCGGGTAGATTACGATTTCAAGTCGGGTAGATTTCGATTTCAAGTCTGGTAGATAAACCACTAGATCTAGAAAAGATAACCGATGTTAAGTCTTGAGCAAATGACATTTACAAAATTAAAAGAGTTCAAATAACAGCAAGTTCTAGGTTAGTTTTCTTAAATGTTTATGGCACTTGTTACACGAATAGGTTATATAAGCGCCGAAGATTAAAGGTTTTACTAGAAAGTGAAAGACAAAGAAAATAAGAATAAGAGAAAAAGACGATGGATTTTTTACAGTAACGAATGCACAAACCACACCAGAGCACCCGCCAACCACACAGCGAACTTAGAAAAAGGACAAGCATAATAGAATTAGTTTAGAGAATCGCAGAAAGAGTCAATATATATATATATAAACTTCAGCAGTAAGATATATTAGAGGATATCATTAAAGAGTAACTAACATACCAACAATATCTAAACAATAGTGAGGAGAAAAGGTAAGTCATGTCTGACGGAAAATAAAGAAAGAAAATGCAGAGACGAAAAGAAAGCGGAAAAAAAACATTTAAGTGACATGGGAAATTAAATACAGTCTGCTTTCCTATCGTCAAACTCGACCCCCTTATTCGAGGGGAAAAAAGTTATGATATAAGTGACAAAGAAAATGAAATGCTGTCTGCTGTTCTCTTTTCATCAAGCTTTACGCCCTTGTTCCTTCCACGTTTGTTGGTAAAAAGTAGAAGGCCACAGCGACATACATTAACACACCCGCCTGTTGGTGAGAAGGCCACATCAACATTAAAACACCCGTCAGTTGGTATGAAATCCACAATAACATTTTAAAACGCCCGTCTGTCGAGACTCGGTTTGTGCCAGGAAAAGTGACAGCTCTCAGACAAAATCGCCAGGATTATAAACAAGCATCAAACTCGTGATAACTTCACTGGCAAGGCAAGCGCTACGCTACATAAAATACCATCGAGAACGCACCCAAAAAAAATTTACTAAAAGATTGGAGGTAAACAGAAGTATTGATCATTCCATTTTGACAACCCCTGAGTTTTCTTTCTGTTGTCCACTTTTCGTCAACCTGTCTGGCCTCGTTCGCACCCTATTACGGTTGAGAGAGAGAGAGAGAGAGAGAGGGGGGGGGAGAGAAAGGAAGAGAGAGAGGGAGAGAGGGAGAGAGAGAGAGAATAGAAAAGAGATGGAGAGAGAGAGAGAGAGAAAGAGAGAGAGAGAGAGAGAGAGAGAGAGAGAGAGAGAGAGAGAGAGAGAGAGAGAGAGAGAAGAGACGAGAGAGAGAGTTACATTACAATTTGTCCACCACCATTTTTATGTCGTTTGCTGCGCTTCTATATCCTTCTATACGTTTCTCGTATAATTATTTTGATTGTCAACAGAGCACGCTTCTGATGTCCACATAAGGCTGCCCAGGGAAGAAGTTTTAGAAAGCCCAGGCAGCGCTGGTAATATCGAAGCTAGCGGTGGCTCTTCTAAATTAATTAACAAATCACTCGAAGTGTTCGTGTATCAATCGATACCCTCAATGACTGGTTCTCATATCGCAAGATACGGAACACAGGCTTCAGTTTGCCGGGACCTGGACGTAATAAATGTCAGCTACCGTCGAGTTTGTTTCGCTATTTTAGCTTGCTGTGACACTATGCTAATCCAGTCCGGAATTTGAGGCCACAGGTCGATGTACAAATTTCAAAATACAATCAGTACAGTGAGTCGAAACCCATAGATACAGAGTGCATAAAAGTACAACCAAACTGGAAAAAAATAATGATTAATCGACAGAGAGGCACGAGAAAGAGGCTAAAACAGCACGTAGACGTGGATAACT